CCCGTAAAGGCCCCGTAGCTCCAGTGTGAGCAATGTCGCTTTATCCTTGGCGTTTTAAGGGTACCTCGACAAGGTATCCGTACCCTTCCTAGCCTTCCAGTCCATCCAATGCATCAATGAATCCTTGCACCACCCCAACTAATTCGAGCTAGCAGAAACGGGGAGAGAGCCACAGGCAGAACGACCTGATCCTGTACTAGCTTGGCTGTGCCTGTTAGGGACCTTGCACAAGAGCAGAAGCATTGATTGAATCTCGGGCTGGGCTGGGACGGGAGTGACCTAAGGTACAGCACAGTACAGGGGCGGTAGAGGTAGAGGAGGGAGGTACGTACCCACTCATCACCGCCCCGACTGGAACCTTGAATTTCATCTTTCTTTTGCATCTTCACTTACCTTTCCTCGGACAAACCCCATAAACAACATCGAATAATTCAGCATCGCCCTCGAGAATAGGTTGGCTTCACGGGAGCCTGCCGATTGCTGTCTTGAACTACTCTTCACATCGTCAACTGCGACCCTTCAGCGACTCTGCGCCTTTTGCGGCGCTCTCTGGGACCATGGTCGCTAAGGAATTCCTCGACTCGGATAGAGTCAACTTTCTTGTTTGGAGGTTCGTCACTACTTCGCGTACTCGACTCACAATCACCGCGCCTAGTCGCCTTCTCGCCCTCACCCTTTCTCCCTACCTCTGGACCTTTTTGCTGACCATGAATTTCTGCGCGCCCACAGATTTCTTCTTGAAGGCAGTATGTATTACGTCTGCGCGCTCAAGGCGCCACAGCACAGCTAAACTAACCACACTCGCCCACAGATTATCGAGAGACTGCTGCCAAATTCCAAAAGGAGTGGCACGTCAAGCAACCTCACAGAGAATTCGCCTTTGCGCCTCACGTCAAGAGCCATGCATTAGTTTCGGTGATTAATCGTGGCCTTGTTTACCACGCGCTTGAGCGTGAGCATTTACGAAAACTGGTAAGTAATCTTTTTGGGGAATCACTGCGAATCTATCGAGAGTTTCGGCGTTGCGCCTGTTCCCCCCACCCATTAAGGCGAGGTGGGCTGTATTCATGACAAGGCCATATTTCCAAAACGGTCAGAGGCTGACAAAATTCACCACATGCAGCTGCCTCAGGATGCAGCAGCGGATGCAGCCGACTCGCTGCGGATGGGCATTTTTGGACCTCTGGACGCGCACTCACAAGGAAGAATTGACGCAGATGAAGAGGAAGATGCGGAAGGAGAGGACATCATCGAAGAGGAGGTTTCAAGGAAACGTGCCCCTCAGCAATTATCAAATGTGTCGCCAGCAAAGCGACAACGGTTAAGCAATGGATTGGAGAATGGCGCCGATGCATCGGCTACAGCAACGGTGCCAGCATCAGCATCAGCACCAACGGCAACAACAGCAACAGGAACGGATCCCAACGTAGCAGCACCGGCACCAGTAACGACACCTATGGAAATTGACAACCACCCTGATAACCATGCATATCCTTCACCTCTAGAGGGTGAGCAAGCGCCAGAGCCAATGGTGCGGACTGACGGCCCTGAACAGGGTACCCAGGTAGACAAGGTCGAGGAGCTGGCTCCAGAGACGACCTTCATCCGCTTGGTATACGATGGCCAGAACCAAATTCAGGGAGACCGAGGCGCTACGCCATCACCTTCCTCACCCTCTGGGCAAGATAATGCTCCCATCCTTTTGCGATGCGAGTGGAACCCAAGAGATCCGTCCATCCTCGCGGCTGGTGGCACCGATGCGCTAGCCCGTGTTTGGACTGTCCCTCGCGCGGGCCCCATCGAGCCGGGACAAGATCACGTGTCACTACAAGGTCACTCCCTTATCGATCGTGATGTGCCCCGCGATACCATAACGACGGCCATGTCGTGGACCAGCGATGGCGCTGCAATTGCAGTAGCCACAGACTCGAGGAACCATGCCTCGATCAATGTGTGGTCCGCTGAAGGCGCACATTTGCAGTCGATGGAATTATCGGAGCCTCCAATCATCAAGATGCTATGGAACCCTAACAACACAGCTCTACTAGCCATTTCCCCGGACAAGGGTGGTACTCTTATTACCGTTCACTACCCGCCCGCTGGAAACTCTCTTTCATATGTCCTCCCGGACCACAATATTGATGCTACACCTTTTGATGCCGCCTGGACTGGAGAAGCGGAATTCTTGCTGTGTGGTGGCGACCTAATGCTATGCCTCCAATGCACAGATACAACGATAGTGCAGGCCAGGAAATTTGAGACCAAGGAAGACGATATATTTTCCCAGGTTCTTTTTGACGGACGTTCGCGACTAGCCGCTACGTCCAGCGACAAAGGCACACTTGATGTAAGGATATACTGGAGAGTAATTTATCGAAAAGACATGCTGACTAGTATAGCTGTGGGATGAGAGTGGTCATCGAAGGTCCATCTCTGCTCACCAAGGCACCATTACTGCGATGCAATGGCAGCCTCTGCCCGAAAACCAACCTGGACCTGACGATGAGCGTTTAATTGCGACTGGAGGAGACGACTGTGCGATCCTTATCTGGAATGCTCGAATGCCCGAAAGCAAGCCCAAGTGCTTCTTGACCATGGATTCACCAATTATGAGGCTTGCTTTCACGCCAGATGGTGCATTCATCGCGGGCGCGACAGCAACTCAGATTTTGATATGGAAAGTTGGAAGTTACGCTGTGCCACGAGCAAGCTGGAGTCGACCGGTGCATCCGGGGTGGCTCAGCCCCAAGGCCAGTGCCGAGACGGACGAAGAAGACGAGCACTGCTTGTGCTGGGATGCTGAAGGCCATAAATTGGCCTATGGCTCCAATAGTAGGGTGAGTCACAGGACATTACCATGTGTCTAGTTGCACTTTTTGCTAACACTTGAAAAGCTTGCCATCATCAACTTTCGAAGATGACGACTACACCAAAAATGATTACGTCTGCGACATTAATAGGATCTAGATGTGCGCCTCATGCAAAGCCGCTACAAGAAAAGGCGAATTGTTCAGGCACGTCTTAGGAAGACAGTCTAATAGACTGTGATGCGATCGGGCATGGTCGGAAGCCCTTAATGTCTATTTTCGCTTGGACATAGTTGGTGGAACCATTTGTACGAAACTGCGAGCTCGCGAAAGCTCTTCCTTGTATAACACGACGACGAACTACGGCTGGCTGGTCACGGGGGTGGAAATCAAACTCCCTGATTGGCACATACACAACACTATCTGGGCACCTCTCTACGCACGAATTCTTTGTTGAATGAAGGAACATGGATAGAGGTTATAGGAGTACAAACGACATTGCTTTCATCGCATTACGTTGGTTTTCTTTGTCTTTTTTTGTTTATTTCTGGAACCAGGGGTTTTGAGGGCGGGCTGGGTTACCATGGGAGGTGGAGGCATACGAAAGGCAGGCAAAGTACTGGGGATGCGGTCTGATATGAGATTTGGGTTCTTGGGGAGCATCATACCCAGTCTCCACGGTGTTATTGTTTTTGGGGGGGCTTTCTGCATTATTTGTACGATTATATACCATCTGGGGTGATGAAACGGCGCAGAAAAACACAAGAGGCTTGTTTTTACGTATAAGGAGTTGAGGTTGGTTCTAGCCAAACCGAAGATGTCAGTAAAGCAATAGTTTCAAAGAGAGTAATGAACGTTGTGACGTATCGCCGCCAATTACAACGAGTGAAAAGGGGGCTCGAATGGGAGGGAAGAGGAGTACTAGCATATACATATCAGGCCAGCAGCAAGGTGGCCTACATTAGTAGGTAACTTGCAGTTTGTTGACTCGATACCCAGATGGGGGACAAGGGAATGGTGTAAAGATAGACGGAAGAGATGCACTCGAGACTTGACAGTGATAGGGTATAGATACGAGGGGCCATAGCGTCGGGAAACATTCAGGTTTCTTCTGGACCATGAGGGCCTGACCAAGGCCAATCGGATCTGAAGCACAGTACAGTAGAGTTGTTGAGGCTCAGCACAACAGGGAGTCTCACCTGCAATGTACTGTACTGTAGTCGTCTATCAGGTAACCGAGGATCTCATGGCCCTCTCAGCGACTCTTCTAACGTAGTCATTTGTGACAGAAGGTCGTGATTGGAGGCTGAATTGCAGACTGAGACACCATGCACTGTTTGCCTTGCATGTCTCAGCCTCAGCTGCAGATCACAAAGTATATAATGCAGTATCATAGATGAGAGAGAGAGAGAGAACAGGCTATTGTGTGTGTGTTGTGTTTTTGGGGGCGTTTGACTTTGGTCTTTGGCAATCGTCGTGTTTATCTGATGACTGCGAAGGATCATGGAAATGTTGTAGAGTAAATAGACGTACGTGTACATGTCTTGATGATTCTCTATCGTGTGAGATGGTGTCTCTCTCACATCTTAGACCGGGGCATCACCGAGTCACTCACTCACTGTGAGATTAGTGCTTTTCTACCGTCGATAGATGGTCTCGCCCCCCCCCCCCAAAAAAATACTCCGTCCCCACAAAGGTTTGGTTTGTTCGCCCGGTTTTCTATTTCCCTTCGAGGCCATGTGCATTTGCATGTTCCCTGCATTAGCTCTGTATTTGTATGTATTTCTCTCTTGTTTCCTCTCTGCGTGTCTCCCGTCTCTTGGAGGTTTATGTAAGTGACGTGCGCCCCACTTCCATTGGAGGGGTTGGTTTCCTTTTCAAGCCCAGGTCAGGCAGGGCCCTTGTCTCTCTCGCTTGTCATTGGGAGTTTATGAGTTGAGCTGTGTTGGATGTGAATGAAGCTGAATGACTCGGGAAGTCATCAATCACTTTTCCCTTTTCTTTTTCTTTCTCTTTCTATCCTTCTCTCATTATTTATAACGAGAATCTGTTCATCTTCCCTGGAGCACCTTCATCTTCAACCCCGAATACATCTTCAGCACTATCCTCAGAAGCAAAACAAACTCTCTTATCAACTCTCTTCCTACTACCACCAACCAACCAACCTCTACCAAAAAAATCATCCACAACACAATGTCTTCATCAACGCAACACCATCAATCAAATCGCTCATCAGGATGGACGGAACAAATGCGCGATAGGCAAGCCCGCGGTAAAAACCCATACAGCGAAGAAAGCGACGTGAGCGATGGCGAACCAAGTCATCTTGGACCGCAATATCGTGCTTCGGCTGCACGGCCTTGCACCGCCGACACTGATTCCTGCAGCCCCATGTTTGAAACACACATAGAGAGAGAACGGAGAGGGGAGGCCTTGTATATTCTGGATAACCATGCGGCTCTCATGGCACATGCGCAGGCGACCGGCGACGTATGTATCACCACCGCTTTGATATTAAAATGCTAGTCGTGCTAAACCATCGTGTACAGAGCATCGCCGGTCAACGGCTTCGATTCATGCGCCAACTATGTGGCTTCGAGGACAAGCACGACGACAATGGCACGGCGAGGAGTAAGCAGAATCGCCGGGTCAGTGATAAAATCTCTCGATAGTACAGAGTTCTCGTCCTAGGAAGAGGGAAGACTGCCCTTGGTGAAATAGGGATCTTTTAGCAAAACCATCCCAAGCCCTCTATAACGAATCATGATTTTCAAATAATAGAATTAAACAACCCCGTATTTGCTTATCTATGCTGCTGTAGTGAATGTTCACTGTTATAGGAATCACATTGTGGTTCAAAACTCTGGTCAAAGCACATGAAATCGAATAAATTGTGGCATTTTGCCTCTTCTAAATGTCGTTATAGTCTCGTGCTAATATCTAACTTAACATAGACGTGTATGCGTGTATCGCTGTGTATGTGAATGTGTCTGCTCCTTATGCATTTGTCCACCAACTGTCCCATGAGTACTTCTCCGAATCCGCCGTCATTGTATGTCCTGGTTCGCTTATCAACAAGTTGAAAACAAATGTCAAGATGCATGTGCGGAAGCGCAAATGCATTCCGTACAATAAAGACTACACGAGAGAGATACAATGTTCAAACCAATTGTGTCCAGAAAGAAAACGCCGGCAAATGCTGTATCGGGACATGGCAAGCCCGCCCCTTTGTATCGAACACAGAGGAAAGAAAAAGAAAAAGAAGGAAGAAAAAGTCTAAGCATATCTCATACTGCGCGTCCTCTGTTGCTGCCAGCCATTGTTGTTATCAATTGGGGCGTACATGTAGGGGCCTTGTTGGTTTGGAGCAGGGCCCCGAGGATATCCTGGCCACGCACCCATGGCTGGCTGTTTGGCTGCCCTGCGGCGAGCTATGCGTCGCTTAATACAGCTAAAGCAGCAGCAAGAGATGGACAGGAGGAGGAGCGCAGCAAGAACGCAACCCACGGGGATGGCAATATTCTTGTTGTTCTTGAACCAGTTCTCAATCTCCTTCCACGTCGAAGCGCCCTCGCAGCTACCATTCTGACATCGACCGCCGCCGCCACAAGGTGTACCGTCGAGGAAGTTTTGGTTTCGCTGCGTACAGAAGCCATCGCCCGACGCCTGGCAAGACAAGAGACAGCTGTTGGTACATGCCTTCACATTGGAGGATGTCGTATTTTGATAGTTTGCTCGGCACTGCTCATCTCGCGATGTGCACTGACCAGATGCGCACTGGAGGCTATCACCACAGTCTGTGCCATCGTCGCTGTGTTTGTCCTTGGGGCATGTCGCGCTGCTTCCCGTGCACTTCTCCTCGGGATCGCAAGGACCTGTGCTCGATCGACAAACAGTACCTGAAGATGCGAACTTGCATTTATCCGTGCAGCACTCTTCGTTCGAGTTATCGCACTCAGCCTGACCCTTGAATTTGCATGTCTTTGCGTCACAGCAAGGATTATCGCCACAGCTGTCCTCGCCGCCGCAGTCGCAATCTTCGCCTTCTTCGACAATTCCGTTACCACACTGCTGGCCCGAGATGGTCTTGATGTTTCTGTTATCAGTGAGGCATTCCGTATTGACATTACGTTTGAAACCTGAGCAGATGTTTCCAATGGTGCAAGGAGAGAATTCACTGATTCCTTCCTTGGAGGATGGGTTCATGATGTAGTCACCCTGAGCATCACACGAACTCTTGCTCAAGGGGCAGCACGACTGCGCATCGGACGAGACTGGACAAGTCTGGGAAGTGCAATCATGGACGGCACCAAAAGTATGTCCTGTCTCGTGAGCAAATACCTGCCATTCTGCCGAAGTCTTGACGACCACGTTGGCACCAGCAACCGTCTCGTTACGACCTCCAGTGTTGGAGTTGGCTGAGGCTCCAGGGCGGCAGAGCTGACCCAGCCATGCAAGGCCAACGGCAGAGTCGGTGTTGCAAGTGCTCAGAAGAGTCCAGTAGGCGTTGCTGTCTTCATTCTGACCGCGCCAGGCGGAAAACAAGTTGAGGCGATCGGACAAGTCGACACTGCTGGAACACTTCTGATTCCAAGCAGCTGTATCCGATGGACTTCCAGGGCATGACCCGTCACTGATGGTGAGGTTCTGGATACCCAGCGTAATGTTGAAGCTCTTTTCGTAAACTTCGGAGGCATCGTTGACCATTCTGATGACATTTTTCCTCAAGGCTTCAGTAGAGTTAAACGTGGAGGTGTATCCACAGTCAGTTGCGATTCCTAGGAGGGCGACCCTTCTGCTAGTTGGACAGCCGCTCACAGAGCCAATTGTAGACTCAAGGTCAACACTCGAACCGTCATTCCCTGTGCCTGTGTCGATAGATTGGCGACCGAAAAGAAATTTGGTGTTTGCCGCGCCAAAAGTGTCAAAGTCTTGGAGCTCATGAAACTTGCTGTTGAAACCCAATGTGTCAGAGTCACAGAGTGCAGCCGAAGCCCCACGCCTTTTGAGCTCAGTAGGATTAAAAGAAATGATATCCGAGTCCCGCCAGACAACCATAACATCGTCCCGAGCCTCTGATGCTGACAGAATAGGGTCGTCTTCGTGTCGAACTTGCTGGTAGTTCGTGCCGGTATGGATATGGTGATGGTTGCCGTCAATACGCAGAGTGCCCTCAAAAACAGGTTCCTCTCCATCTCGATGCATTGTTATCCTTGCCCAGCCAGAATTTGTCCAACCTTCCCTTCCGACTCGCTGAATAAACACATTTCCCTTGAATACTTTTTCGTCCTCTCGGTTTACTGTCTCGACAGATCGCACGGCACCGTTTGCGCCAATGTGAGTAATAGCGAAGTTCTCGTGTAGAATGTCGTGGTTCGGTTCGAGCTTGAGGCGTATTTTTTGTTGTCCATTGTGCAGTGAGAATAGGAGATCAAAGTGCGAGTCGGCGCGTATACGGTGTGATGGTGTGTTGATTACGGGCTCATCGATGAAAGATATATAGTTAACGGCGTTGCGCTTTACTGAGCTCGCTGTTTTGAGGATATTAGAAGACTGTTCCAAACTACAAGGTAGATTTCAAGTGCTGAGCATACCTAGCGAGGTTTCAAAGAACAAAGCCACACCCGCGATAGCGGTCGCAATTGACCGCAATGATACCATGGTGTTTATCGGACCTCGAACGGTCCTGGGAGAGAAACGGCGGCGCGCCGATTTTGAGAGATATCACTGCAAGGCCATACAGTAACACAGAAGAAACTGTCTAGTGAAGGGGAACGGAAGTTGTAAGGTGAGATGTAATCAAGGTGAGACGAAGATCGTCAGACGGAGCGGCCGAAAATAGAGTCGGAAGGATGACGGAAGTTATTGGGAACGTCAAAGGAGAATGTGGAGAAAGAAGTCAGGGTGCAAGTATTGGATCTCGAGGTAGAACAAAGAGGATAGATAGTACAAAGGAGGAGGAGAGGGGAAGAAGGGGAAGAAGAAGGGATTCGAAACGATTAATCGCGAAGCATGATGAGCATTGAGATCTGAATAATACAGTACGGGATGGATATTTCAGCTCACTCCAGTCCCATTTTAGGGAGTTGGAAAGGCAAAACAGAGTGTGGCGGAGGGTGCTTAGAGCCAGCCTGTTGGCTGTTGGCTGTTGGGTTAGGTTAGATCCTTCTAACGCCGTTGGCTTTTGCCTCACGCCAAGGGTTCCAAGGTTCCCGAGGGCTGGGGTGTGGGTGCTGGAGGGACAACCAAGTCTCTTGGCCAGCGAATCATGAGCCAGAGGCCGCGCGGTTCTCCCACTGCATAGCCTCCCAAACAGCAAGCGTCACACTTGTCAGCCATACCTAGACTAACTTCCATTAGCAACTGTCAACTTTGCCCGTGAACCTCATCTCAGAGTTGCTTGTTATGAAACTCAATGGCAACGGATGTTGACATATCCATCTTTCAGGCTTGGCAACAGAATTTGATAACCCTGGTATCCAGAATACATACAGATCAACAACTCCGACTAATAATACCTGCAGTCCTGAGTCCGTCCATCTGATTACAGGCGGCCTCCCAAAGCCTCACCGGGGCATCCGACCGAGGTCAATATGTTTCGCCCTCGTATCTTTTCATCCAACCATTTACAATCCTGGACTACCTTATACTAACTAGACTAATCTTCCCCGCTGCTAGTCATTTATGTCTTCAAGTTTCTTGGCATTGACGAGTTGATATTCATTATTATGGGACATAAGAGGTGTTGATGACAGACTTTATTACCCAGATAAACAATAGTTAGACCCTGCTGCCACGTTGTTGCTACTTTATCGGGCTGTCCCAAGATTTCTTATAAAACGCACACCGTAGCTGAAAAGGCTTGTTTTACAACGATGTCACGATATTACGATATCCTCAGAGAAACTGAATTTAGATCATTCACCTTATTAGGTACGGAGTATACGAGCCAAATACTCAAGTCGGCCCCTCAACTTTACGCAGCCTCCAGTCAGCGGGAAATAAAAACCACCCACTCTCAAAACTATCCCATCCTTGCAACTCATATTTACCTACAGTACACACACCAACAGCCCCCAAAAACGATGACGACTTTATCACCCTTGGCACTCCAGCGGGACCATCTATTGGCGCCTTTGCCTCGTGGAGCTGGTTGATATCTCTGCAACTGTGAAAACCGTTCAAGTCCTTTCTCGTTCTAGACCTCCCGTAGTTCCACGCGGCGGCCCAGAAATACTGAAGCTTAAATATTGGAATGTCGTTAAAAAAATTATCGTGACTGTTTGCTCTTTTGCTTCATCCCACTTGATATCCCACTTCGGACATGTGTCCACGCGTCCTTTGAAAGCTGGCGCAGTAGCCTGTTTTTCTTTATCCAAATCTCCTACAAGTCAATCTCGATAGAAGGAAACATCCAGCCATTCAAAGACAGATTCGTGCAGAACCTTGTTTTGACATCAATCACTTGCTGTGGTCACAGTTAGCTTCTTCTGACACCACTACCCTGCATCACCAACGTCATTGATGTCTTAACCAATGTTTCATTATTGGACTTTCTTTTTGCCTTGCTAGCTTAAAAAATATGAGAGAAAAATCAGACCGCACTGCTCATAAATCAACCTCGTAAAAATTGGTTCCCAAGCCATCAAGATCCTCTTCCAGGTCGTGGCTGAATCCCAACATCAACCCCAAACACCGAGCGGGAATCTGATTCCAGGCTGCTCCCGTTGTCGGCAGACTATTCCTTTCCCGCTTGCCTTGTATCCATGGTATATAACTCCACTAGATAATATGCATCATGTCTTTATAACCCTTTTCGTCAATGACCTCACTTGCGCTTGGCATCGTGAACAGCCTTGATAATCTTCTCAACAACAGAAGGATCAGAAAGCTGTGTGTCATGTTAGTTACAAATGCCACTTGAGGTATTTCAAGGAGATAACTTACAGTAGTAATGTCTCCGAGCTGGTCTTCCTCACCAGCAACAATCTTCCTCAATACTCGTCGCATAATCTTGCCACTTCGTGTCTTAGGCATGTCAGGTACGACGTACACCGCCTTGGGAGCAGCGAATGGACCAATGCTCTTGCGCACTTGGACAATAAGCTCCTTGCGCAGGGCATCACTTGATTCAACACCCTCCTTGAGATCAACAAAGGCATTCACAGCTTGGCCAGTAAGCTCATCAGCAATACCGACGACAGCTGCGTCAGCAACAGAGTGGTGCTCCAACAGAGCAGCCTCGATCTCAGCAGTGGACAATCGGTGACCGCTGACATTGACGACGTCGTCAACACGACCCCGAATCCAGTAGAAGCCCTCGTGGTCTCTAGCAGCTCCGTCTCCAGTGAAGTAGTAACCCTTGTAGACATCAAGGTAAGTCTCTCTGTACCGGTTATGAGCTCCCCATACGGTGCGAGCCATGCTAGGCCAGGACTGCTTAAAGGTCAACACACCCTCAACATCGTTGCCATGAATTTCTTCGCCGGAAACAGGATCGATGAGAGCGGGCTCAACCCCGAAGAAGGGCAAAGAACAACTGCCCGGCTTGGTAGGTGTAATTCCAGCCAAGGGCGTGAGAACATGAGAGCCAGACTCGGTTTGCCAGTAAGTCTATGATCAATGTTAGCAGCGGCCACCAACCTGATACCCATGGAAAACTTACATCAACAATGTGGCACTCCTCTTTTCCAATAACTTCGAAATACCACTTCCAGATCTCGGCGGCGATAGGTTCGCCGACCGAGCCCAGTACGCGAAGGTGAGCGAACTTTCCACGAACATGCTCGTCACCAGCACGCTTCAGCAATCGCAAAGCGGTGGGAGCAACGTAAAACTGAGTAACGTTGTGTCTCTCGATGATGTCCCAGTATCGCGAAAAGTTGGGGTAGGCAGGTGTACCCTCAAATACAACTGTGGATACACCGAGCATAAGAGGAGCATAAACGACATAGGTGTGACCGGTAATCCAGCCGACATCACCACCACAGAAGTATCTATCGCCCTCGTGGATGTCAAAGACATACTTGCCGGTCATCGCAGCGCCGAGGAGGTACCCAGCGGTTGTATGCAGGACACCCTTAGGCTTGCCAGTGGAGCCGGAGGTATAAAGGAGGAATAGAGGGTCCTCGGAAGCGACAGGCTCGGGAGGGAAGTAGTTGGGCCACTTCTCAACCTCCTCATGCCACCAGAAGTCACGGCCACTGGTCCAGGGAATTTCTGAGCCAGTGCGCTTGTAGACAAGGACGTTCTCGACAGCAGGGCACTGCTTGAGAGCGTCATCAACAATCTTCTTCGTGCCAATCAACTTGCCACCTCGCTTGCCTTCATCAGTTGTGATGACAACCTTGCAGCCGGCATCGACAACACGGTCGCGGAGAGAGTCGGAAGAGAAACCAGCAAAGATAACGGAGTGTACGGCACCAATACGGACACAGGCCATGAGAGCGATGATGGCCTCGGGAATCATGGGAAGGTAGATAGCAACGGTGTCGCCCTTGCGTACACCCATTTGCTTGAGAACCCAGGCGGTACGAGAAACCTCTCGGAGGAGCTCTCCGTACGTAACATTGCGCCCCTCGGTGGGCTCATCGGCCTCATAAATGATGGCAACACGATCAGGGTCCTTGAAAGCATGACGGTCGACACAGTTGTATGAGGCATTCAGGCGGCCCTCGTTGAAGTAGGAGACATCGGCATTGAGAAGAGAACCACTTCGGGTGGTCTGAAAGTCGCGGTCCCAAGAGATGAGCTCGCGTGCGCGCTCAGCCCAGAACTTCTCGGGTTGAGTGATCGATTCCTTGTAAAGTCGCTTGTACTCTTCGAGGTCTATGAGAGTGGGTCAGCTCATGTTGAGGCTCCGGTGCGGAAGCCGGGATCACTTACTGGCAAGGTGGGGCCGGTGGGGATGCTCTGCCGGGTTGCAAGGTTAGTATGAGCCAGGGAGACGGAGCACGATGGAGTCAAGAATAAGCAAAGAACCACACGGCAGGGTCTAGCGGGAGACACTGCGGCGAGTAATTTCGCCTCAACAGAAAACAGAGGGGCGCAATTGACTTACTAGCAAACATTCGCTGAGGAGGGTCTAAGCTGAAAGTTAGCGATGGCAGACCAGGTTGGTTGCGCAAACTTACGATAGGTATCGACGAGATGAGCTTCAGCGACTACAGGAGCCTTTGTCTCTTGAGCGGGTGCGGGAGTCTCCTCAGCTCTCAATGAGACAGTTTCGGTGGCTGCAGGAGCGGGAACGGGAGAAGCGACGGCGGCTGGGATAGCACTCTTGGGGAGAGACTCGGGAGCCGAAGTCCTGAGCTCCTGGGGCACTTGGGGTTGCTCGACGGCGGTTGCCATTGTGTCTTTTGCTGGGGTTTGTTTGAGAATAATTTTTTTTTCGTTGAGCGTTGCGCCTGTAGGTGCGACGTTGATGGCGGGGTAGCGTGACCGTGGAGCTTGTCAGAACTGCTTGTACTTGCAGGACTTACAGCTTTCGGTGTTGCTGTTCTATGGTGATACAGAGATCGCGCAGTCGAGTTGTAGGTATTCGAATTGGAGGAGGAGGAGAAGAGGTTGGAGAAGGCAATGAAGAGTAAAGTAGAGAAAAAGTGTTTAGTTGGATTTAGAGTAGGGGGAGGAGCTGGAGAAATAGTTGAGACGGATCCAGAGGTTTGATGAGGCCCGGCTTGCGGGGGGAGCTTTCTTTATGGCAAATGGGTCCATCATCATTGGAAGGCCCGGCCGGCCGTTGCGACTTGTCACTGGTACCTGCACCAACTGGGATCAGTCTCAGTGGGTGTTGGCACCAAACCCGAGCTGCGGCCGGCGAACCGGGGGGGGTCTTGCCGTGATCCTTTCCCCCGAGCCACCTCAAGTCCCGAATAGCCAGTAGGTAGTGAGTTAGCGACTCACGTCCGCTAGTAAGTTTGTAAGTTCATCAGCATTGATGAAAGTCTGATAGTCTTTGTAGATCGTCACCAAGATTCACACTTGAATTCTCGGCATTCAGAGTGGCCAAAATACTAAGCACGGCATCTGCCCGTCAGCAATGTGAGCCTTGGAAATAAGATGCGACTTGACGTCGGCATTACACAAATGCCAATGTGATATACATACAAGGGCTTATGATGTGGCCGCTACATATGAGAACCCTTTTGCCGCGCCATGTATCCTATTATCCTACCGGCCATTCATCCATATCAGACCGCATCGGTTCTACCCCGAAGCCCTACGCCCGAAAAAGAATGCATTGCTGGTTTCCATCAGCTTTTGTGCTTTTGTATTCCTTATAACACGATGGCCTGAATGCTACCATCTGTCTACTTTATTCCCGCGTGTTCTGGCCTATGCTGGATTTCTGGTCATTCTCTGTTGAAAACACACCGTAGAGGAACTTCACTTCGACTTGGTTGAATGATACATGCCGTAAATACGTAGCACTGTTCCCGATATTTAAGAACGGCCTTACGCATATTCTTCAATCTTTCACAGGAAGTTACCTAGGTCGATAGCCATAGTCGTTGACATATCGCGCTCTGCTGTTAGCTATCAATTATCTTAAGAGAGTTATACCTAAGGTAATAGGCAATAAGATACCAGAGTTCTACTAGAATTGATACCTTCATAGGTCTCGACGTTGGAGGCTCATCCTGCATCCAATGGCTTCGAATTTGATATCATCGACGATGCATTGGCATATCCACCTATCAAGTACAGGTATCACCGAATCCCTGCACTAGTTCGCTTGCCGAACTATCTGCGGCAGCCGGATAGACCAATGCTTCAGGGCCAACAGAAGATTGTTTCTTAAACAGAACCGGTGATGTCAGCCAGCAGACAGACAGACAGTCAAAGCATGCACAATTAGGGGCCATCACCACCAGAGTAACATCCTGGCTACTATGATTGAGATATTACGTGACATTACTCGTGATTGAACAGCCTTGGGAAGAGATGCATCTACCTCAGGGAGCAAGAACACTTCGGGCCCCAAGTTTAGGCGTCAAAAACAATCAGTCTAAAGGTTAGTTAAACCTCACCTAAGTTTCCCTAGGTCTTTTTGTTGTTCAGGATAAGGTCCTAGTTTTCTTTTGACTCTCCTCGATCCTATGACGGAGCCGCTATGGGGCCGCACACAGAGGAGTACTGATAGCCAAAACGTGTTATGTGATTGATCGTAGTCACGGAGGAGGTGGAGCTTTGAGAGCCCGGCAATATAGTGGAACCCGGTTAAGGCATTGCATTTCGCCAATGCAGGACAACACTGACCCTGTCTGTCGACAGTGAGCCGAGATCGCTCTCAAGATGAATGCCCTGTTCGATACTCTGGTGGCTCTCAACTGGCGACACTTCCAGCAGCAATGTCTGAAACAGGATATACGGCGCCTTTTCCTTATCTACTGGCTGTGCTCTTATTGCCGTTTCGGGGCAGTCGGATTTAATGGGCTTCGATTTAACCCCACATTGTTGGAGCGTGGCAGCTGCATATGCCCCCTCACACGCCCTCCCCGCATTCGGGGTCGAGATTTGTACAACATGATTGGCCTATCTCCGCCTCCGACTTCGCCCTTTCATGGCTAAACATTCAGGGTCTAATTCCTTATGAGTTCTTCACTCTCAACAAAGTTGAGTTTGTTAGAACATTTCCGTTGTCCCTCTGCGGGTCTATGTAGAGAATGCGGCATGTACTCTCTACTTCCATCTTTTGGAGAAAGTATTTACATATCTCTGATGCAGCACTTTATGTACCAAAGTGACTGAAACATATATACCACAGATTTGGAGACGAGGACATTGTTCTACGTGCTGCTGCATTTATCAAGCTGTGTACAACAGGTGTCCCAAAGATCACTCAGGTAATTTCATAATTCCTATAGCGAAAAAAATAAAGGCCAAAGCGATTCTCCGTGTCGCCGCTAGCTTCCCGCGAGATCGCCCATCAGGAGGACCGTCCCCAATTGGCATCTCCATGTCAATCTTTCAAAGTCAATCCCTGTCCCCATGTTGATCTGTGCCCCAACGGTCGGTCCAACCTGCGTCTCATAGCCGAAGCCACGGAACCCCCAAGATTGTGGCTTCACCTGTCATCCCAGCCACGCTATAGATGTAGAATGTTGCCGGCTGGCCGTATCTTCGGGACTCGACCGAGATAGTGTCATAAAGTGATACAATCAGCGAATGGAACTTGTCCGTTTGCCATGAGCGCCTCTGCTTTCCGCATTATCCTGAGCCTGCACTTGTTGTTCACGCACACACTACGGAGGACAGATCTGGCTCCTCTCATCCAGCCGGTCTTCCTCATGAGTTCCCGCGGTTATTCTCAGTGGTGAATGCGCCATCACACAGTAAGCCTTTTTTGTTCACTAAAGTTACAGAGTACGATACCGATTACTCCCATATTCGCGATGAATTAGCGGACTTGAGTTTTACAGATCTCTTTTCATCCTGGCTGCTAAAGAAGCTGAAATAAGAGATCTAATAACTGACCAAACAGGTATCTCTATATAAGACTAACAATAGCCTGGTAAGTTTGTCAATATCAGTGATGCTCTCCAACATGTAGAAAATACCATAGCCAATGATACTCCTTCCATTTCTCCATGCGTTCTAGCCAGGCACACGGTATCTAAACAAGGTTCCGTTTCCCCATCCTCATCCCCCATTTCAACATGATTCTCCATGCCGGGTCTGGGGCTCATCTCAAGTTTGATGCCTAACGGGACCCGTTTGCACTCTTACAGTTAAGATCTCTTGTTCAGTTGCTTCACGATATGACCATGACTTTACTTTGCCAGCATATACTATGCAGCACATTACAAGAGTTGTGGCTTGTAGTTGAGATAGAGTGAAGCATCGACACGCACATACCGTCGAGTTCCGCAGATTTTGCTACATCAGCCTTCCTAAAACGCCGCATATTTTCTAACATAATTACATATCCATACTCATCAAATACATCTCGACAATTCTCATGAACTTCGCCACGAAAGCCTCCAGATGGAATATAACTTTGGTTCCGGTCTTGATGCGATGCTCATAAAAAGCCGCCCACTGAATAACCTCGCCTTTCAACCCATCGTCAATGAGGGCAATCAGCTTGAACGCCAAGGTCTTGAGGATAGTAGTGGGGGGAATGCAGTGTGTCAAGAGGTCGTAAAGCTTTGACCGCACCTGCAGTATCCTGGCTGGCGAGTGTTCTTCCAGGATCTCCTTTGCGATCTGACCGATAAGGGCCTCCCAGTCTGCCGGTGGGATGACTGTGCTATCAGTGACTTTCTCACTATCGACTAGGTTAGCTTTTACTTCACGCCACAGCTATCAATTTCACTAAGGAAAACGTACTTTTGTGCATGAACGGCTTCATACATCAAGAGAGCTCGTCGAAGGTTTCGTCCGCTCTCCTCCGCTATTCGTTTGTGAAGACCATCCACAACGGGCCAGCCCTCTTTCTTCGCCGATACGGCTAGCACATCACATATCTCCTCGTGCGTTGGGGCCGCTACTCTGACCAGTAGAGTTCTTGAGCGAATCGGAGCAATAATATTGGCAGTCGAATTCGCCAAGAGGATTAGTCGTAGGTTGGGCGAGTACTTTTCCATCGTTCGTCGCAGAGCTGCTTGTGCATCTCTCGTCAGGTGGTCCGCTTCGTTGATGACCACGACTTTGAACTTTTGCTTCGCTGATTGATCCACTTGTTGCGTTTGTGCAACCTCTTTAAGAAGGTCCTGGACAACAACTCTGTCATAGTTTCCAACGTCGGACGGTGTGATTTCGAGGTGGTAGACGGAGGCGACAATGTTGAACTCGAGCTTTCGATTGCTAGTCGTCTGGAATACTCGAGCATCGATTTTGATCTTCTCCACACCTGGCCCATAGAGCTCCTTCAGCGTAGCAACGATTCGCGTTTTCTTTCCAGCACCTGAGGGCCCGTACACAAGTAGGTGAGGAAAATCACCGCTCTGGGCCTGAAAGGGATACTAGTCAACAATGCTACTCATCCAAGTCAGGTTTATTGACTTACAAGAGAGCGAAGGCGATCTGACAACTCATTGTGATATGTGAGGGTCTCGAGGGACCGAGGTCGATGCTTGTCAACAATAAGTGCCATCGTGGAAGCTGCTTGGTCTGGAGGTGAGAATTGTGTCGAGGCAGCTTTTTGGGAAATGGTGGAAGACGCGTTGTCGCGTAAAGTGGCAGAGTGGATGATGTCTAGAAAATGAAGTGGTCTGTGCACGACATCTAAGTGTGACAACCGTTCAGCAGGCAACGAGCAATTGCAATGCTTTCGACAAGGAAAGGTATTGATGCCCACCAAGAAAAGGGGAGCTTTACTATGGGTTCTATACCGTTGTAAGAATACGGATATTGAACATAGATCTCATTTTATTTATTTCTAGAATTAGTAGGTCTAGAATTTGGTATTCATACAAGTTACAACAATAGATCTACACCTCTATGTACATGGCATTGTCTCATCAGCCCAAATCTCTAGGGGTTGCGGGAAGCTTCAGAAGTGCTCCCGACCAGAGTCTCAGTTGTAGGCGAGGAAGCCTCCAGTAGTTCAACGGGAGCAATGTGTCGTCGAGGTCTTTTCAACTCTTCTAGAGTCACGCCGTCCAACTTGGTAATTCCAACCATGGGAGGCTCTCCCTTCTTAACGAATTCCCACTGACCTGAGATTGTGGTTAGTTGTGCTCCATAAATAATGTTGTAGGATATTCACCAGGCAGCTTGTTACCGGCCAAGCGAAAAGCATCTCTCACAACTTGCTCGTGAAGTCGTCCTCGGATTTCGAAAAGAATCTGGCTAACAGCCATTCGGGTTGCCCAGTGATCGAATGAACCTTTACCCTTACCCATACGCATCTGTAAAACTATAAGCCGATGTTCCACCCAACTCTGGGAAGGCCATTCTTACATCGTTACCGCTGACATATACACCGACGTTACAGTTCTTTCGCTTATACAATCGGTATTTTTGACCTCGAAGTCGCACTTTGATGGTGTCCTCGGCCATCTTCAATTGCTTGGCGCTGATTCTTCGGTGGTGATCCGTCATCCGTAGACCATAGTCGCCCCAAATTACTGTCGTACCCTTGGTCGAACCACCCGTAGCCACACGAGGTCGTCCCTTTGCCATCTTCTTCTTTCGGTTCAGGTTTGGCTCAAGCCAGTTGCCTAACATTGATGGGGTCGTTGAAAAGGCTCGAACATTTTGAGGTTGTCGAATCGCATCAAGGGTCTTCAAAGACTGCCGAAGAGGGGTATGAGGTTGTCGCAGAGGCGAAGAGGCACACAACCTCAAACCCTGGAAGGCATTGAGCAATGTCGATGTGTTAGTGAGCTTCATGGCGGCGAACGGAGTTGACTTGAAGCTGCCTCGAACAACGGAGCTCCAGAAAATCTTCCCGATGCCGAAGGTGGGCTGATATCGATGCCTAAGTTTCAAGGCACACAATCCGGAACCACTTTAACTTGCAGTCACGGACCTCGCGTCAGCTTCGCGTTTGATAGGAGCTACCGTGCACGTCACTAGACTCGGACTTCTAGGCTGCTCCTTGATTGCCTGGGATTCACGTTACCATCCCTCACCCAGGCAACATTGGCGCATGCCATTAAAAAGGTCGATGCACTTCTTCAATCTCCAGTAAAACAAGAAGAAGAGAGAAGAAAAAAAAACGAGATTGCCAAAATGCCTTCCGATATCCGGTCTTTCTTTGGACCCAAGGGTGGTGGCGCTCCAAAACCTGCTCCACGAAAAGCTGAGGAGCTGGCCAAGAGCAAGCGTACAAGTAAGCCAAACAATGTTACTCTCGGACCTATAACGGTACTAACATAATTTCAGAGGGAAGAAAGGTCGTCGAAGATAGCGACGATGACGAAGATGAAGCAGTAGAGTGAGTTGGTTTCCTTCCACTTGTTACTTCAACCAAGCTGATCCTAAGCAGAGTGCAAAAGCCCACCACTAAACCCGCCCCAAAGAGAAAAGCCAAGTTTGTGTTTTGACTTCTGTCTTGCCAATTGCCTTCTAATTGACCTTTTACAGGGAGGAGGAAACTAAGGGCGTGGCTATTTCTGCTGATGACTACTTCGCTTCCACAAAGAACGGCAAGCCTACAAGTTCAGCAACACCCAAAAAGCCTGCTGCAAAGCCTGATATTCCCGTTCGATCAAGTCCCCGAGGAAAGCCTACTGCTTCGAAGCCCGCAGCAATAGCGAAGAATGATAAAGCTCCTGCCACACGAAAATCAACAACCTCTTACTCACGCCACAATGCCGATCAGGACTCTGATGCTTATATGGATGACGGGGACGATGACGACGAAGATATTTTTGCAGCTGATGCCAAGGGTGGAAGTAAGCGCAAGAACGACGACTACGAGGAGGACGAATCCGAGGACGAGGAACTTCCTAAGCCAAAGCGAATAGCGACCCGAGGCCGCCCATCAACCGTCAAGAAGGAAGAAAAGGAAGAACAAGCCAAGCCTACAGCAAAAGGCAGAAAGCGAAAGTCTTTATCAGAAGACTCAGAAGAGTCAGAAGAAGAGGCCCCACGCAAGAAAGCGGCTACAAGCAAACCCAAAGCTGCAGCCAAACCTCGGGCTCCAAGAAAGAAGAATGATGAGCCTGAAGATGAAGAGATCAAGGATATTCTCGATAACATTACTACCGTTCGTGCCCCTACACCACCACCCAAAGATGATAATGCCAAGTTCGATTGGCGAAAGAACGCATTCGGAGGTGGTAATGCATCTGCCCAGCCAGCTGCCGGTGCAGCTGACCTCCCCGAAGGCGCGGATGAATGCTTGACTGGTCTTAGTTTTGTCTTTACCGGTGTTTTGCAGACCATTAGTCGTGATGAGGGGCAAGCTCTTGTCAAGAGGTATGGTGGTAAAGTAGTCGGTCAGCCGAGCAGCAAGACAAGTTTTGTGGTTTTGGGAGAAGACGCTGGGCCAAGTAAGCTGGCAAAGATCAAGTCTATCGGCATCAAGACAATTGACGAGAACGGACTTTTCGAACTGATCCGCAAACTTCCTGCATTTGGAGGTGGCGGCAAAGGAGCCCAGAAGGCCCAGGAGAAGAAAAAGGCCGAAGAAGACAAAGTCAAGAAACAGGTTGCAGAGATGGAGGCCGAAGAGAAGGTTCGAAAGGCAGAGGCTGCGAAGGCCGCCAAAAAAGCGGCTGCCGCTGGAGGGCCTCCTGTGAAGGCTGCTGCGGCACCCCCCGTTCAATTACTGACTTCAAAGTATGCACCCACACAGCTTGGCCATATTTGTGGCAATAAGGCTCAAGTCGAAAAGATTCAGAACTGGCTCAGAAACTGGCCAAAACACAAGAAATACAACTTTCAAAGAAGGGGTGCTGACGGGATGGGTGGCGAGCGCGCCATCATCATCTCTGGACCCCCTGGAATCGGCAAGACAACTGCTGCTCACCTAGCTGCAAAGCTGGAGGGATATGACGTTTTGGAGAGCAATGCAAGCGATACTCGAAGCAAGAAGCTCGTCGAAAACGGAGTGAGTGATGTGATGAATAACACGTCGCTCCTCGGTTACTTTGCTGGCGACGGCAAAGATGTGGATGCAACCAAGAAGAAGATTGTTCTCATCATGGATGAGGTTGACGGTATGTCTGCGGGCGATCGAGGCGGTGTCGGTGCTTTGGCAAAGTTCTGCAAAAAAACACAGGTTCCTCTGATACTCATCTGTAACGAGCGAAGACTGCCCAAGATGAAGCCTTTCGACCATGCAGCTTTCGACATCCGATTCAATCGCCCAACTGTGGATCAAGTTCGATCTCGCGTCATGACTATTTGCCACAGAGAAGGGCTCAAGCTTCCTGCTTCTGTGGTAGATGCTCTTATCGAGGGAAGCAACAAAGATATTCGACAGATCATCAATATGATTTCCACGGCAAAATTAGACCAGACAAGTATGGACTTCGACCAAAGCAAGGCCATGTCCAAGGCTTGGGAAAAGCACGTCATCCTTAAGCCGTGGGACATCTGCCAAAAGATGCTGGCAGGTGGATTGTTCACCCCCGCAAGCAAGTCAACACTCAATGATAAGATTGAGCTCTATTTCAACGACCACGAGTTCAGCTATCTCATGATACAAGAGAACTATCTCCGAACGAAACCTATGGCGTTAAATGGAAAGGGGTATAACCAACGCGAGCTCAAGCTCAAAGCTCTCGAACTGTTCGATAATGCAGCAGAGAGCATCAGCGACGGAGACCTTGTCGATCGCATGATCCACGGACCTCAGCAACATTGGAGCCTGATGCCCACACATGCTGTGTTTAGTACGGTCCGCCCCGCCAGTTTTATAGCAGGCCAGCTCATGGGCTCTAACTTCACGTCGTGGTTGGGCAACAACAGCAAGTACGGAAGGTTGGGTAGGTCGATCCGAGAAGTTCACTCTCACATGCGCCTCAAATCTTCTGGCGATCATAACGAGATTCGCCAGCAGTACCTCCCTGTTCTTTGGACGCAGCTTGTAGATCGCCTACAAAAGCAGGGCAACGAAGCAGTGTCAGAGGTCATTGATTTGATGGACAGTTACTACTTGACTCGTGAAGATTTTGATGCCGTTCAGGAACTCGGTGTCGGACCGATGGACGAGGAACACGTCAAGATTGAGACCAAGACCAAAGCTGCTTTCACCCGAACGTAGGTTGACCATCTGCCCATGCTCCGATATGCAACTAACGAGCTCTCTAGATACAATGCAATGAGCCACCCAGTTCCCTTTATGAAGGCCAGCAATGTCGTCGCTCCCAAGGCTCAGCCCAAGGAGGTTCCTGATCTTGAGGAAGCTGTTGAAGATGATGATGCTGAGGCAGTCGAGGCACCTGAAGTCGACGAAGAAGACGACGAAATCGATTTCAAGAAGGACAAGTATATAAAAAAACCGAAAGCCAAGAAGGTCACCAAGAAGACGGCCAAGGCTGCTGGCGACGACGAAGAAGAGGACGAGGACAAACCTAAGCGAGGTCAAACCAAGGCCAAGGCTACTGGTGCGAAGGCTAAGGGGAAGAAGTGAATGACGGCCGAGTTATTGCATGGCATTAAATGTAACAGATAATATTCGGTTTTTGGTTCATGGTAAGTAAGCTAGAGGCATATCACATTCAGTTAGTGTTTAGTATGGAGGCGAGATGGGGAAAACGGAGTCGAAGGTAACGAGCCAGCCCTCGTTGTGTTATAGATTTCTAGTAGTAACTAAGAAATGAGATTCAGATATCTTCGATAAACAGCAGTAGCCATACCTTGGTTTTTGAATAGACTCTGAAGTCTCCAGTACTTGTGTAAGCGAAGTTATTGCCAGATGCATTATCCAAGCAACACTGTTCGTTGTAGATAGGCATTATCGCATGATCAACCGAAAATCTCTAGTGCTTGTATAGCATCTATTATCTGCTGCATATGGACCGGACCATGGAGCTGCATGTATGTGTGAATACAGGGCATTAAGATCGGCCCTATTGCCACTGGCAGTGGTACTGAAGCTGCCATCTGCCAGTGCGAACCGCCTATGATCCTATTCCCACTTTACTTGCCAGTTGCTGCCGGCTGCCAGGGACAATAGCAGTGGTAGCTAGAATGATTCATGCTCATTCTATCAAAACAAGCGCTTCCAGCCCCATTATTATATATATCTTCTGTTTCCTCCGTCTGTTTCCTTCCTTCTCTTCTCTCCATCACACTCAACTTCTTCACCTTCACTCAATACCATAACATCATCTCAACATCCTAACATCAAGACTTCATGTCACCACAGTGACCAAGTCTCTTCAACCTACATTCCTTGTTCTCATCATCTTCATACACTGCATTTCCCCGATACATCCTTCACGATGCAGGGCTCTGCATCCTACCCTGCTGCTCTTGGGGGAAGCAAATGGATCGCGAGCTTCTTAGCGAGACACCGATATGACGATGGCATCTACGTCCGTACCTCTACCAGTGAGTCGATACCCATGTGCTATCTTCTGTCATGCTGAGAGCATCATACTGATCTTATATTAGGAGCTTCTTCGCCGCAAGAAGTCAAATTCCGTGACTTTGTCAAGAAGAGTAAAGCGGAGCTGAAAAGTGAGTTTCACATCCATCCGCCGAAAAATATCAGGGATATACGGGACCATATACTGATTGGCATTTCAAGATGTATTTTCTGCGAATAGAAAGAAACGGTCCGAGGCAGGCGTCGATGGTATGGAGCTGAATACCTTACTTTGTTTACCTATTTGCCCGAACTGACCTTTGCTCTTCCAGAACTACGCAACGCAAACGAATCTGACACAGAACGAAACAGCAACAAACTATCCTGGGAAAAACTGTTCGACACAAAGTCAGGAAACAAGCTTCATAAGCGGGCAAAGTCCGCTCCGAGTGACATCCATGTCCCACATCAGCTCGATCCCATCACTGAAGTCGGTGAAAGTAGCGAGACACAAGCCAATCTCGTATCTGTCAGCACTTCATCTCGAAAGCCTGTCGGCCAGAACACTCAATGCTCTGCTATCAGTCAAACTAACGGGGACGACGTGTCTGTTATGACAACATGTACAACTATAATCCAGCAAGCTAACCTTCAGGGCATCTCTGAAGGGGATGCTCATGATGCCACTATCAACGATGAAGGCATCGCGATCGGCGGACGAAACTGTACATCCAACCCATCCACGCATCTCAGCAGTAGGAACTCAAGTGCCACCGAAGACGAAGGTCCTTCTCAAGACGAAAGCGAAAACACATCAGATGGCCATGGTGCCTCATTGGCACGTTACGAGCTTCTCAAATCTCAAAGAGAATACTTTGTGGATCTACAGAAAGACATTACTCGACAGATGGAAGCGACCGAGCTACAGCGTATTGATCTACGGAACCGCATCACTGAATAGGAAAAGGATGTTCGACCGGTAGAGAATGCTCACCAGGACAAAACTGGTCGACAGGAGGTGACTGCTCGACAGGAGGATAATGTTCTACAGAACGAGAACCCTGGGCAGGCACACCCAAACAACAACGATCTCACAAGTAAATCGTCGCCAAAATTCTCACTGAGATCTGTCTTGAGTATGCTTATGGGCAGCCACAAGTCCGATAGAGAGACAAAACCCAAGAGTGATGGAAACAGAGAGCTGAAGGACAAGAGCGAATTGCCAGCTCGATGGAAAATATTGCTGGTTGGAAAGACAAAGTCTGGGTCTTCCACTAAGAGCAATTCCCAATCCTCCTCGCAGAATCTCGGCCAGAGTGATGCGCAGCCTACCAATCAAATTGTCGAGTAAGTATTCTTTACAGATATATTTGATGTGATCGAGAACACTGACAACAGTCTTGAAGACAAGATAGAACATTCAAGGGCCTTGATTGGAAACTTCCAGCTGAGAAAAATGAAATGGGCCAGCTTATCCGAGAGTTCTCTGGCGACCTCAATCCTGCCACGCAAGAATTGGCTCACGAGACCCCTGTGTCCTCAATGACTCTAAGCCTCCATTCGTATCCGTCAAAGTTTGATGTTTCGATGGATCAAAATATCCCCCCTCGGCCTGCAATGACCCCGGTCTCATATTCTGACAACCAACGAGTGCACGATGAGTCCACTAGCCAAGACGCTCTGGTTGCCATGGAAGTTCACATGGAGAACAAGCAGGCGCAGCTTGTAGAAATCCAGACCCGATCTGACCGAATCATGAACCAAGCTACTCGCAGTATCGCCGACCAGAATAAAGCTCCGCAAGGAACAGTCGAGCGCGACACAACGAATGGTAAGTTTCCAAAAGACAAGTCTTCCTCTCGCATAAACTAACAGCTACTAGATGTCCACCCACCGCAAACCTGGCAGCACGGAGGTGACCCTACAGAGGTCGAGACTGTTGAACAGGTAAGATTACTGTGGTACTGGCTAGGACATAACCGAGATCAGAATTCTGACTGTCAATTGTAGGCATATGCCCGTCACCGAAGTTCTCTTGCAGTTGTTGATCGAATTCGTAGCATTGGGCTGCTTGGACCAAGCATGGACGAAACGAGCTCAATCGCCGCAGACGAACAGCGATTGCTGCGTGAGGTGACAGAAGACCTTGAGCTCCCGCCCAATAGGGTCGCTTCCAATGAATCTTGGATCGCCGTGACGAACCACTCTCTGGTCATTCCGAGCATAGAGGATCCCAACACCAATCTTGGATGCGAGGGGCAGAAGACCCCAGAACCAAATGCCGAGCAGAGAGACGATGCCAGCGACCAAACCGAGTTGATCTTGACAAGAGCAAGAAGCGCAGACCGATTCATCCCTGAGGGACTTTACTATCAGAATTCAGTGGACGGTAACTAGTATTACGCCGCCACAGATGACATGGGTTCCGACGTACTAGTATTTGAAGAGGATGAAGAAGAACTCCCAGAGGACTTTACTCCGGGACAGCCAGTCACGGAGGCTTTGATCAAGGAGCTCAACATAGAGAGACTGGGCGGGTTTTTCACAACCCTTGAGAACGTCCGAAACGAAAGCCCCGAGCGATTGATTGGTAAGTTGACACATGCTTCTCTGCCTTATATAAGTACTTACCAAGTTGCATAGCTGCCCGCGATCCTAAAGCTGTGGCTACTTGGCGAGATGGAATTGCCGAGTTGACCTCGATCGGCGAGATGCTTCGTGACAGCAAAGCAGTACACTGGTTCCAACAAGCTCTTTCAACTGCAGGCAATGATGGAGAATTGTCTGCCATGGATTACAAGCCAAGTCGAGTAAGCACATATCCCTTTCTGTCTTTCTGCCTTTCAGCCTTTGATGCTAATATGAAACTCCAGGCTGAGATTGAAGCTGCTCTCGCGCATCCAGATGCGCCCGTCATTCAGGGTTGCCAGCCACAGGAATTTTTCGACGAATGCCATCTTCTCAAGAAATCTATTTACATAGATTCCCTGGCAAAGGAAAAATACACCGCTCAAGTGCAGCCGGCTATGTCCCGAAACGAAGTCATCTTCGCTGAGTGGGATCGAGCGGATGCAGTAGCCTCCATACACAAACACAACCAGCAGCCAAGGCTCGAGGAGCAAGAACAAGAGAGCGCGGAAGCTGCTAGCCGCCGACGTCTCAAGATCTACCAAGCTGTGGAGAGAAATCTTATCGAGGGCCGGCGCCTTGCGGTCAAAATCAATCGCGAGGCGACCGCCGCCTTTCAAATGTGCCAGTACTTGGACAAGGTCTACGAGACCATGAGGGAACAAATCCTCCATCGTGCCGAAGAATGTGGCCATGAGCCAACTGACGACCTACAACATGCCATGGAGCTCATCCGAAGAACGCAGCGGGAAGAACAGATCACCTACCTCAAGTATGAGAACTTCGAGTCTGCGGATATCGAAAGTCCCGAGTCCGAGGTGGCTGCTCGCTATGGCTGCGATTATCAAGAAATTGCCGGTTACCATGTCGACATGACCGTTGATCCAACCGACGAGTTCTTTTGATCTTTCATCAACAGATATGTGAGACGGCGAGGCCTAAAAAA